ATGTTTTCACTATGGAGAACACGTACGTGCGCCTATGATTTGAACATGGATTGATTTTCACAATCAGTTTATCGTCTCTGTGACGGTCGTAAAAATGACACGTGATGAATTACCCCTTTTTATTGTTGATGTTGAGCAGGTGCAAAATCACCTGATAAATTCGTGCTTCCTTACCCGCGAAGGATGCGTACGGAATCGCTGTGTGCATGTGCAAACGCTGTCGGAGCGACGTTATCCATGTGATTCGTGCCGTTCACGCTTTTATCACCTTATTCTTTTTTATTTAATCGAAAACTGTTAACAGGAATGCACAGATTTTTTTTAATCACCAATCGATTTGCGATTATAAATCTGCGGTGATTGTGTGTAGAATATTAGACCAGGTATTTCAGGATCGATAGTTGTTTGTTCCTTCAATCTGTAATTAAAGTGTTTAATAATTGTTGTTAACTTATATAACGGTAACTGTTCAGCTCTTTGTATAGTCTTTGACTGTAGATATACGCCTTGCTCAAACTAGGCCTGCTGATGTGTCCCTTGTCCTCCCGCTGCTATTAATTTGTCAGTTATAATGACCATTGAAAATTTGAAAGCTGAGGCTGTTAATATTACTGCACATTGTACTAGCACACCCCGATATAACTAGAAGTCAGTTATCACTGATTGAACTTTTCCATCGAATTCGTTTTGACTCACAGTCAAAGTTTTGACGGTTGCCCAGATCGCTGTTCTGGTTTTCTTTTTATTGAATATTTCGGTCTTCTTTGTTTAGGTCGGTATGGTCATTCCTACAGTGGCCTTTGTATCAAAACTGGCCTTTTTATACGTGTTTCATTAAACAAAAAGGGTATGATTCTAGCACTGCCATTTTTAATCATTTGCGTTTGTTCGTTATAGTCTAAAATATCGTGTTTGGTTGTGAAGTTCCTCATGGGTCAGTGCATGTGCAGGGAGAGAAGACGGCAGCTGCAGCGACGTCAGCATTCTGCTGGACAGGATGAAGACGAACACGAAATTACTTCCTTTCCTCCATTTTACCATTCGCAGAGGTTATATACCCTTGGGCTGGACGTGAAAGACTTGGTTATAGAAACCCTGTCTGTCATCAGGACTTTGGTGAACAAGTAAGCGACGTTTCTCTCAATTTTTGTATATTTTTCTACGTTAAAGCCATCCGTTATTTTAAACAGGAAATTTCGCATGTACGCTGCACTGTGTCCATATGAATGCTTTAAGGTTCTTCTGTCCATAATGCATTATGGTTCAAATACGAATTCTAGGTTTAAATTGGAAAACCGTCTAATGTCAGTTTTCAAGACCATTTATATAGATCTTTGACCTTGCAGTCAAATACCGGTTTCTGCGTTTTTCGCAAACGCGAATTCCTTCCTAATTTTTGACAGTTGTTAGATGTCAGAACCACCGAGGTAATGACACGTTATCCTGTGACGATTGAAGCATAAACTGATTATTATAAGCTATCAGATTATTCACTTGGATCGGCGAGTAATCAGCTACAAATCGCGCCGGCCG